TTTGACCCCTTTGAAGCTTTAAACAGCGAGGTCAAGGTCATACTAACATATTATCACTTTTATGAGAAGTTTCCTGTAAAAATTGCTTTAGGAATTCCTACAATTACTTTTTCCAAAGTGACTCCGGCCGATGAAATAAAATAGTATCTCTCCAGCACTTTTACAACATTGATAAGGATAAGAATGAAAATGAAGGAGAAAGAGGAGAGAGATAAACTCCCAATTCTTTGAGAATGTGTCAAAGATAATTAGCGACAACAAATCCCCTCTTAGTAGGAAAAAGGGAAAGGGAAAGAGTAGAAAGATAATATGATAAGAAGAATGATATGATAGCGATGATCAATGGCTGAGTGACAATGGTACTAAAATGCAATAGAAATGATTGAAAAGGGAAGGTATGCTAGCAAGGTCATATAAAAGATAAAGTTGCGGTAAAATTACCAAAATAAACTCACTAATTACCATTTAAATCAAATTTGTAAAAATTATTAAGAAATTTGATATGAATGATAACATTAGATTATCTCCTCATCTTATGCTTATCTCTTCATCTTATGCTCCTTGTTCTGCTTACTGATAATTCAGTGATGTTTCGAACTTCATAAAAGATTACGGTGTAGTAAAAGATTTTTAGAATTTTTCCATATCATATGTCTATTTTCGTTGCAATTCCACAAACAGCAGATGACCTTGACAAAAATGGTAGTACATCGGCGATGCGCAAAGTGAAGCCACCAATAGGATTGAAGATATAGACGTAGTATGAGAGAGAGAAAGAGAGAGAGAAAAAAAAAAAGATATTTTGAATTAAGATTTCAATCTCTTGTAAATTCCTTCTAACTTAAGAGAATCATTGAGAGGATGAAATTAAATGAAATATTTAAGATGCATTATAAAACTTATGTTAATTCACAACAATCAAATTATTGTAGTAAGAATTGGAAAGATGAATGTTATTATATATTACAATGCTCTAAAATCGACACAAAGTTTGATAGTTCATTTCATTTATTCTTTGAATTTAATTTTAGTGTGAAATCTTATATGAAACTTTGTGCTATATGTTAAAATTCAAAATATTTTCTGTGAACCAACTAGAGATAAGAGATGATTTGTGAAGAGTGAGGTGAAATTATTTTTTCATCACCGATATTAACTCTATCATACAAAACTTATCTCTAGAATTACCTTTGAACCTCTATATGTGTGATAAAATAAAAAGTAACTACCCTGTTATTTTCATCTATCATTATCAATCCTTCATGATCAAATTTCCACTACGAAGCTTGTACTGACCCCTTAATTATATATCTTCTGGTATTAGGAATTTGCTAATTTGGGACAAGAACTTCCAATTGAATTGTTGTTCCATCCCCTCTCTCCCGACATCTCTATCTCTCTCTCTATCTTTTCTCTGTCCCTCTATCTTGCCCATCTTTTATTGTACAAAAAGCAAATTCAAGGATAAATCGGTTAGTATGCATAGGGCTTGCCACTTCAACTTTATCATCATCTCAGATCGCGGAAATCGCCTGGCTCACCTTGAAAAATGCATAAATCTATAGAAGCTATCGTCTTCTCTTCCTTCATCTTCTTCTCTTTCTCTTCTTCATCCTCTTGTCCCTTTTCAAAAGCAAACCTGAGTCTAACCCAAACAACGACAATATCATGGAGTTTTATAAAAATTCCAAATTGGATGCATGGAAGGGCGGTAGAGACGAATATACCTGTTCTGTTCCTGTTAAGCAATGGGATCGACAAACATTCATGCATAGATCTCATCTTTTTCGACAGCGACCGCAGCAGTGAAGTTTTTTCAAGGGCGCTTCCAAAAATTTTCACTAACTTTCGACATCAAAAGATAGAAGAAGATGAATTCATCTTATTTACTGACTGATTGAGTAATAGATTAAAGAATGATTGCATAGTTATGATAGCAACAGTAACAGCCATATCGATTATTAGCTATAACTACAATAATATCGAATGGATCAATGAATAGGTTAATTATGCTACTGTCCAAATTAATATTTGAGATAATTTCAAAATGTTAAATTAAATAATTAAAGGATAAGTTACTTTGACAATGATAAAAAGATGCTAATAATAATAACAATAAATTTAAATTGTAAGAAATAAAATAATATTTTTCTTGTAATTAACTATGTGAGCACATTTTTGAAAGTTCTAAATGAAATAAAAATGTTAAAATACGACTTTGTACTACAAAATATTTAAAAACAATATCTAATCATTTTTTGCCAATTTAAGTAATTGAAAATAAAAATGATGTTGCAAAAAAAGAAATGCAAAAAAATGTTATAAAGAGAGGTGGAAAAAATTAATTAGCAATTAATAATAAAAAATGGATAAAATAATTGAAATATAAGTATGAATTCAAAAATAGAATAGAATAGGATAGTGACATCAAATTGCCTTTTCCCCCTCCCCCGCCTCTTCCTTTTCCCCCGATCGCTCCTTGAATGCCAAAAAATTCTCGCCCAAATCAAAAAATTAACTAAAAAAATGCAAAAAATAAATATTCAAATTTAAGTGAAATGAAAAAAGCAATGAATATATTGTTGTTGATTGACAATTAATTTTAACGAAGAAATTGAAATCCCAGTTAATCTACGCTTGAATTATTTTTGAGAGACAACAAACGGACATAATAGCCTCTAGCTTCTTCTAAGGGGATTAGTAGTTTCCGACACAAATCTTAGTCTAATACTGTTACTGCCAGGAGCCAAGAGATGTAATTTCTGGCTTGCATTTAAGAGCAATAGGGATAATACCAGATAAGCCTAGTTTATAGGGTTGCTTAAAGAAAATGGCAAGAAATAAGACATATTTTAGAGTAAAGAGTGTTACATTATCTGGAGATTCTAAAAAATCAATCGATAGAATTTTATTGTGTGCCTTTTTGAAGCATATACTAAAATTTTATTGATTACTCCGACAAAACTTCGTAGATCAGTTAAATACTTTTTAAAGGTATTCAAGATAAATTTAAAGGTATTCAAGATAAGAGATTTGAAAAGATAAACCTTTTGAATTAACGGCCAATTGTGGCATGCCTAAAGCACTAAGCACCGTATCGACCAGCTGACTGAGCAAAGTCGCACCGGAGACAATTGCGTAAGAATCGACAAGCATGTGACCATCACGTGCGCAAGTGAGGCAATGTTGTGGTCGAACTGATTCTACCACAACGCGCACCGGGAACATACTCATATTGAGCGGGATTCTGAATCCTTTCGAGTGACTCGCAGGAAATCCAGCTCTTTCTGGAAATTCAAATATTAATGAAGCAAAAATTTGACATTTAAAGTAAATGAATTAAGCAATTATTAGGGTCTGATGTACAAAATCGTCAGTTCAGACCGTTCAAGCATAAATCAAAGAGTTTATTTTTTGAAAAAAAACGAATGGGATGAAAGAAATAGAAGTGAAGTCATATTTTTATCTCTCATTCAAAGCAATATGTTTCGGGAATCTTCAATGAGATTTTTAGATCCGATCAACAGATCAATACAGCAATTGTAAATTCATTTTTATAAATGATCAATAATATTTGAAAATTAAATTTAAGATTATATTCTAAAATTCGATATTAATCAATGAAAAATCATTGTACGACTTACTTGTTAGGGGCAATATATATAAATAAAGAAGAAAAGTGTCGAAGTAGTTTAAAATTTCGATCGGAGACAGAAAGATAAATTAAATAAGGACCAGAGTGTGACGGATTCTGTGATAATTTTAGTGTTGACAACAATAAATGTGATTTTAGCCCGTCTTCTCCGTTGGTTGTCCTGAAATGTATCAAGTAATATATGATTTGTTTTTCTTCAATTCCGCAAGAGATATTTTAATTCATTTCGTAACATCTACCAAGATATCTCGCGTAATATCAAGATATTAAATATTTATCAAAATATCTTATGCATTACTGAATTATTGACAACTTGAAATACAATCAAGAAATTTACATAATTAAAATATTGACATAAGTTGACGAATTGAATGCATAATTATTTGATGAAAAATCGACAAAACAAATTTTTCAATAATCAAAAACAAAAACAAAAACTTAATATCTTAATTCCTAAAAATATCCTTCGCCTTCATTTTCACCGCTATTTTCTATTTATTCGTTGAGAAAAATTTAGCATTTCACATTCATTGGGAAAAGTTGAAATTCATTTCGGGAAATATTCAAAAAAGTATTACTAATATATATAATAATTCGCAATAAGAACTGCAAAAACTATGTACAATGAAAAGCTTTTGCATTTCATAGAAAGAGCGAAAATGTATTAAATATTTTCTAGTACACTGATATACTTATCACTACCAATTTATTTTGTGATATTTCTCAGAAAAGCTCCGATAGCATAATATGCAAATGAATGAAGTTGATCGAATTGTAAAAAATAATTCGTAAATTTGATAATTATCTGTAATCGTGGGGAACAATGCAATTTAGTTAATAGAAAGTTGGAAAAAATTGCTGCATTAATTCTTTCTTAATAAAAATTCTTTTTATATTAGATTTTAAAATACAGCAAATTTTAATTGAGTAGCATCAATCGGAAAATTGAAAGAATTTAGATTTTCAAATTTCACTAGAATCAAGTTGAGATGATTTTAGCGACAAAAAGTTTCAATAAGATGGAGTTATAATACTTAAAATCTCGAGAATTAGCTATTCGAGAGATATAATTTAAGTCGCAATATCTTTTCAGTGAATTAAAATGGGATAATTTTACAAATTTCAAATTAACTTTTTTTGTGGGAATGATATTATTGACAATAGCAGGTCACCTGTTAGATATATTCTTAGTTAGTTCATTGTTGACACTAAGAATCAAGAAAGGAAACAGTACGAGAAGAAAGTGATTATTATCAAAAAGGTGGCCGACGTATTGGGAATTAAACAGCTGCTGCTGCTTTTACTGCTGATAAGAATGATAGTGAGGGATGGCCAAAATAAATCAATGATTGAATTTGGATGAATGAATGAATGAGTGAATGAATAAATGAATAAATAAATAAATGAATGAATGGCATGCATATCATCACGTTATCAGCAACTATCACAGGTAAGCAAATGGATGAGGAGAGGGAAGAAACATCATCACCTCACCGTCACAATCACCGTCACCGTCACCGTCACTGTCACCGTCATAGCAGCATCATCATCAGCATCATCAGCATCAGCAGCATCAGCATCAGAGCATCAGCATCAGCAGCATCAGCAGCAGCAGCAGCAGCTCTACCCTATCCGAGGCGCTGATCACTGACTTCCTCCCTCCCTACCAAATGAGCCACCCCGGTCGCTGACTGTCTGATTAAATCAAGGATAGATAGAATTGGGGGAGCGATACATATCTATCTGTAGGCAGTGGAGCCATCAATCTCTCGGGGCTCCGCCCTTAAAGGCTTCAATCCTCAAAGATACCGTCAAATATGAGCCACGCCCTCATGCGCCCGAGATGGATTTGTCCGCAGTTCTGAGGATATGACCGGCTGCTAGGAGCTTAATAGGAGCCATCATTGCATCCATTTTGCTACCGTACTCTGGCTAATATTAATGTTATCCGTTTACTGTAGACATACAACATCAATGATTTAGGTTATTGTTGTTGTTGTTGTTATTGGTAATGATGGTAGTGATGGCAGTGTGGTGGTGGCGGTGCGGCTATTTCATCGAATTCTCATTATATTCATTTAAGGATCTGGCTACAATTATAAATGAACTTAAAAGATACACCTATTAGAAATAGTTCATTTTATTTAATATCTTACTAGTCATAATTTTTTGATTCCCTACTGAAATCTTTGATATGAATTTCATCAACTATCCTCTTCATCCTGATATGATACGATTATCATTAATTTACTTTCTTTATCTTGTATGATCACTTACTTCATCATATAAAAATATATTAGCAAGATAATTTCAAAAATCACAATTATAAGAGGGTGGTTGAAAATCGAAATTTTTAACAATAAAACGTTAGCATTTACGTAACTTTCACCTGTTGTCGTATTATGGGATGACATTGGTGAAGGAGATGATATGGGAAGGAAGCATTTAGGGTTGTCAGTGATGGTGCTGTTGTTGTTGTCGAAGGAGATGAAGAAGAAAGTATTTGAAAAAGGTTGAAGAGCAGCCAGCTACAGAGGGCTAAAATGAAAGAAAGAGATGTGAAAATGAAGGTGGAAGAGGAGAAGGACCCTCCCTGCTACACACTCCATCACCAAACAACCAAAAAAGGTACAGATAAGTAGGAGCAGCAGTAGTGAGCGACAAATCATAACTGGTTTTAGCGGATTGGAACAAATTTTTAAAGACGATGAAAAGGAAGAAATGAAAATCGAAAAGGAAATGAAGGTGAAAGCCGCTTCTTGCAGGTGCGCACACATATACGCATACACCGCTTTCATCGTCAAATGCCATTGCCGTATATCAAAAAGATGATGTCGTTGGTGGTAATGATAAATAGTACAATTATAATAATGATAATACAATAGTAATTGCTAACAACTCTAATGAAAACAATCAACAATTGTAATTCTCGATACATGATTCAAAAAAAGTGGACAGTAACGATAAATGATGGAATTTCCAAGAAATCACATAAAAAATAGTGATTGCAGATTGGTTATTAATCATGATATTAGTGATAATTTTGAAAACACTGGTGGTAACGCCGATGATAATAATAGTATTGCTTACTTGGTAAGCAAATTATATTGAAAACAAACTTTTGATTAGAGGTCAAACATCATAAAATTATTTAGTTTTTAATAAAGATTTTTAGTAATAGTGAAAAATGTGATAAAAATTTTTAGTAATGAAAAATGTGATAAATAATAACAGCTGTTATATGAAAATATTATAATATGATAATTTTTATCAAAAAAAAAAACAGTAGTGAAAAATAATATAAAGAAAAATAATCATATCATTGATAGTGATATTGTCTTGCTATGTTAAAAGATTTTTTGACTGAAAAATTTATTTTTGCACTTGTTTGTTTGATTTGTACAAACGTTGTGAATTGTTAATATGCATGGTCTCAGTGAAGAGATCATAAAACTTTCTCTCTGCTTAAACTGGGATTTATTATATTCATTTTCCTTATTCAATCTCTTGAACTGTTTAAAAAAGTATTTCTACTTCCATATTTCTTATCGCTGGGTATTAAGGAATAACCGGGAAATATATCGGCTGCTCTATAACTTTTGCACTTCCGTGATAAGATGTTGAGTTATTACAATTTTATAAATACTCAATTTGCCAAAATAAAAATTAACAAACTGTAATCAAAAAAAATTTTTATCGATACTCCTCAATTTATCAATTATCTTTTTTCAAGAAATCTAAAATCTGAAATAAATTTGCTAGACTGATAACTGTAGAAGTTTAATAGCAATTAGCTTCTTACGCTTCTTCACCTGTTATTTTGTTGTTTTAATCGGTATTAGCGGTGTTAATTTATATACAGTAATTTCTATCATTGTAAAGAAGAAAAATCAGGAAAGTTAATTTTTATCTGTTAACCATTAATTTTAATAGGTTAATAATTTCGTAGCATAACAATTAGTAATTTTAGAAATGCATCTTAGGAATACAAAAATGATAATATATAATAGCAAAGTAGCTATCATACAATTTCATTCATTTTCTATTTAACATGCAAAGGAATAGAATATGTTGTTGTGAAAGGCGATCGAAATATTACTGATAGTTCATATATCATAAAAGTTGATTAAAAAAAGCAGGAAAGAAAAAAAGACATAATACAATAATAAATATAAAAATCAAGTTTTGAATTCATACCAATTGGTAAGAGAAGAAAAGGTTCGATGATGACAATCTTATAGAAATGACAAATCCGGATTATGTTATTTTGAAGACAAAAAAACAATAATAATGCTTTTCTAATAAAAATGAAATGAAATGAAATTTCGCTGAACGATAGCTATTTACATTGTCCTATCATTCATTCTTTCTTTCAGTAATTTTTGTTATTTATGAAAAAAGAAGAAAAAGCTATTTGTAGCATTGCAATTTGATACAACGATTAAAAGTGTCAATCATCATCTGATACTTGAAAGTTCCCTGTTCGTTCAAAAACAGATGTTAGCAACACTATTAAAACCTGTTAACTTTAATTAATTAATTATCATCTAATTGCTCTCTAACAAAATTAAGTTCACATAAAAATGATGTAATATATTAATACCTGTCTATAATTTCATTGATTCTTTACTTATTAATTCTTGAAAAGAGTTCGAAAATTTTTTGAATATTATAAGTTACAAAAAAAGCTGTAATTCATTGTATATATTCTATCATTTACTGATATGATAAAAAAATAAAATTCTACAAAATATAATTATTTACGTATTTCACTTGCTAATCTTATATTTTGTAAAAAAGTTATTCCAATTCAGTTTTTTAAATAATTTTAAAAAGCAACTGAAATGAAATTTTCGTAAAAAATAGCTTTTTTATTAGCATCAACTCATTTTTCGCTGTTATTCGCTGTACACCATGACTATGGTATATGATTTATGAAATAAGTAAACCATGAACGACTGTCAACAATAATAACTCTATAAAGTCTATGTATGGATAATTACGATACAGGAATTATTTTATAATACCATATGAAAAATGAAATTTGTACAATAATAGCTATGATGATTGTATTATCACAGCAATAACAATAAACAATAATACATCAATGATGATCCCTAATTTTCAGGAATATCCCTGCTATATTGGTGCTATCGTATCTATTTGCATCTTGCATATCACTAGTAGTTATCAGCATTGGAATAGCAATAGCAAGCAGCTTAGCGATCATAAATTAAACTATATAGGGAAGAGCTCAATGTATTGACGAGGAATTTTGTTGCATTTTAATTCTTTCTCCCTTACCCCTACCTCTACCTCCACCCCGCCTCACTGATTCCCCTCTCCCTCCCTCTGCTTTTCTATAAATCCCCGAAATTCAAAACTCCACCCTTGTTTTGGACATATTGATTACGAATGAGTGGAATATAGATGTCTGTATATGTATATGTGTTCGGGATTGTATGATAAGTGTCTCGCTCAGTAGTGCTTACTCGATGATGATGATTATGATGATGTTGTGAAGATTATGGTGATGATGGTGGTGATAGTGATGATGATAGTGATGAATATATCAGAGAAAGCAAAGCAGTTATTGATGCTGATATGGACAAAAAGTAGTGGAGAGCAGTGGCAATGCCTGAAAGCTCCTCCAAAAGTAAACAGTTGATTGGAAGAGGACTGCTTCCTATCACTACTGATCATTGTATACTATATATATGCTTATGTCCCAATCTATCCTATATATAATTTCTGGAAAATGAAAGAAGTGACTTAAGAACTGTTGCTATTAGAGAGTTACCCAAGAAGTTAATTTTTTCTACGAATCACTATCATCTGAAATAAAAAATTCAAAAATATTATTATTAATATTAAAAGTAATATTGCATATCTTTTTTAAAATCATTTCAGGTACTACTTGAAGTAGATTTACTAAGATTAATACATTATCAATTTAATATATAATAATCTTTTAGCGATACTCTTGCAGTGCCCTCATTGAATTTCAATATAGCTTTGCGAACAGTGTCGTCTATATCTTGCTCTATCTATACTTCACTGATAATACCTATTATTAACTAATACTAATTAATATTTATGACATGCATGTTACAGGTAAGATGTTTATCATTATAAAACTGCAATAATTATTTCCAAAACTGATTAGAATGAGATGCATTAAGTATACATATTTCGAAGAGATAAAAAAGTTCTAACTCTCTCCATTGTTTTATTTCGAAATTATAGATTAGCTCTATCTGTTTTCATTTAAATTAAATTGACACAAAATAAACAACTTAGAAGGACAAAAAACAGTTGGATGATGAAAAAAAAGATGGCTTTAGAATCACAACTCAAATATTATAAATTCTTTGAAGGATTCTAAAATGTGACTTAGAAGATAGAAAGAAACCGATAAAAAAGAAATAGAAATAGTATGAACGCATAGAAAATAAATAAGTTACTTTGTCACTTACTTTTAGAAACTTTCGTTCTTTAATTAGGAAAAAAGTTGGCTTGACGGAAAGATTACGACAATGTTAGGAAAAAGGTTAAGATTATTCGATAGTTTGGCGAAAAAACTTCAGCATAAATTTAAAAGTCAAAAGCAGCATTCTTATCAGTAAGTACTACTTTTTGCAAACAAATCGC